TACTTAGACAGCTTTGAGATGGCTCTTGACAGACACAAGTCTATCAATTACAAATGCAAGCTAAATCACCTTGCTAATCTGTCAGATGCGAAGAGCTATCAAGATTTGACAGATTGACAGATAATTTGTTGATGTTGCTTACGACCGCTGTCCGCTCTCTACCCACTTTCTAAAATTGAACAATAGCCACACTGTGTGTCTACAATACTAGCTGTGTACTTGTAGTAGTTGTCTGTCTGTAAGCAAATACAGTGACTCTAAAGGATCAAGTGAGTTGGAGGGTTCTAGTAACTTTGTACAATTCACTACACCGCTCCTGAACTCAGTTCTGATATCTGTCTATATTTTTAATTTCTATCTATATTTTTCTATTTTTCATTCTAAAGGGTGGTCCATGAATAACGGATAATTTTAAAACAAATAACAATCCGATTTCGTTACTCGTAGAATTGTTGTAAATGAAATCCGCCGTCATGGTGCGGTTCTATTTATTAATACTATCCTGGCGGGTGTTTAATAAAAGAACTAAGGGATCTGTTCCCAAGAATGAACCTCCGGGGATGTCAAAGTCTGTGTGTACAGATGAGAACATCGCAAAAGTTTGGAAATCTGTTCTCCGAAGTCCAAAACGATCGACAAGAAAACATTCTGTTGCTTTAGGTGTTTCTATGACCAGTTTACAGTGTATTTTACATGACGATTCGAATTTACATCCGTACAAACTGGTTGTTACCCTGAAGCTCAATCAAGGTGACCCTAGATTACGTCTGGTGTATTGTCAAAGACTCTTTCAGCGTTTCAGCTGATTGAAGGCGAAAACCTTCTGGGGTGCCTCATAATGTCACTTATAATTAAAATGGGCTTCAACGCAAAGGCACGGTGTTGTACTGTCCAACGATCCATGATTACTTAAATGGCTTTAAATTTGTTATTGTGTAATACAACAATGAAAATTCTACGAGTAACAACAGCTGATTAACAGCTGTTCAAATGATCAGTTATTTACGAACCACCCTTTATGTTTTTGTTATTGTACTGGTTGTTGCTGAAAACCCCTTAATGATGAACAAACATTAGAACTTTATGCTCACTGTACTTGCAATAACATATGTTTGACTAAACAAAACACACTCAACATGGTTTTAAAATCAACCAGCTTTTTCACGTAAGTCAAATTCCACGCGAATGAATAATTACGCTGTATAATATCGTAAACATCGGTAAAGTACCAAGGTCAATCCTGCGTAGAGCCCAACAATTATTATAACTGCACTGCCTCAAGTTTGCGTGTCCCTAATGTGGTTGTACAAACTACCCTTGAATACGAAATATATATTTATCTGTACAGGAAGGATTTTAGTCTCGCTTCGTGTGTGCCGTTATGTAGCAATGGCTGTGTTATGTTGAAATGAGACTTCAAGGGAAAATACCCCCGCCACAGCAAACCAGCAGACTAAGAAAATTTCCATTTGCCTAATTGGATTTACTCTAAACGGACTCATCGTTATCGATTGATTACAAAAACATCGACGATTAAAACCGAGGAGATGGAAGTGTTTCGACATTTTCGGCACTTTTTGCAAACAAAAACCTTGTAAAAATAGTTAATACTATGATGTATTAGGTTTGTTAGCTTTTGAGTTTTGCATATGTTTCACAGTAAAGATATAGAAAAAACATGTGATATACAGTGTGAAAGTGTAAAGAACTGACTAAACTAAAAGTGAGAATTAAAATACAGTAAATAGCGCAGCTTATCGAATTACAGTAAAGGGAACGTGAAATACATAGGTACAATCGATCTATTTGAAATTTTCAAACTTAACATTACCCATACACTAACAACGTAAACGTAAGGTTCATATGGAAAGCGAGCTGGTCTAGTGGAGCGTGGGGCTTCGGTCCCAGAGGCCCCGGGTTTAAATCCCGCCAATAACCAATTAAATTCATCCATGTGATAATGCCGCAACCCTCTAGGTATAGCCTGAAGTGATGTGTAAATTACAGTTACAGGCTGAAACATCTAGCACAACTAAAATACCCCCGCCGCAGCAAACCTGCAGACTAAGCGAATTTCAATTTGCCTGATTGGATTTACTTTAAAATGTCTCTTTAAAAATATCACATTTATTCTCTATTTAAATAGCATTAGTTTAACGAGTACTTAGGTTTGCTGCAACAGGAATGGTAAATAAGTGTTTTTTTTTGTTTTTTGTAAAATGTTAATATTTAGAATCTGAACTCGTTCGAATAAATGTAGGTTTACACGTTTATACCAAATTTAATCAAAATCGGACCATTTTTGCTTGAGTTATCGTGCTAACGGACACACACATATATATTTATATATACGAATTTGAACGGATGGTGTTTTTGTCCTCTAGAGACCTCAAAACGATAAAGTAAATCGGTCCCGGGTCCAGGTCTTACCATGTGTACCACGGTAATAGCTTATTCCTTATATGGGAAATTCGCTAAAAGACTGATAAAGGGCTTGGCGTTTTAAAGAGATTATTTCTGATATTAATCATGACGAATAGTAAAAAACAAAGTCTTCACGACATTTCGGGATCTGGAAACTGACTCCTTCCCTAGGTGAGAACGTACCAAAAATGTACCAAAATTAATACACAAATCCTCCCGAAGTTGGTAAATCACAATTAAAACCCCACACAGAGAACTGTATTGTAGTAAAACAAAAACCAAACCTAAACCCCTTAAATAAAATCAAATAATTGGTTAGGGATTAATTCATATACAATACATCCGATCAGAATTTTTGAAAGCCACTTTTGAACCTACAAAAAATTATTGTTTTAAAAATTATAAAATCACTTGGAGTTATAATAATAATTTAAATTTATTTATTCTATTTATGATTATAAACATTTCATGCTCTGAGTTTGTTGGTAAAATTATTATTTAGCCCAGTAATATGGCATTAATCGTAAAAAGATTCTACAATTGCCGAGTTAACGAATTAGTAGCCATACACATTGGTCAATAAGAAGTGATAATAATTTCAATAAAGTTTGTTAGATTAATATATTATAGTTTTCCATTGCATTCACTGCTGTAGAAGGGGGTATCGTGGTATTACACCTGTTGCTAGAGGTGTTAAATACCCAAGTATTTATACCTATGGTTAAATACCCAAGATATTTATTTACACGGGTAAATAACCTTTTTCATAAATACTCAGGTACTTTTTATTATTTAGCAGCGCATAAGATTTGTTTATTTTGTTATTAAATAACATATGGAGGTGTGTTTTATATTCAATATTAACATTTTATTATAAAATTAACTTATATAATGCTAATCATATGTACAATTATCACTAAAATGTTATTTTTATGGGTGGGCCTAACATTAAAAAAAACTCATACAAGTAGAATATCAAAACTGTATCCGTATATGATGATGATATTTTTTGGGAAAATGGATTGTTATAGAGTTGTTTTATTAACTCATTTTCAACTTGACTATTAGTGGTACTATTGGCACATCCATATCCGAAACTTAAGACCAAAGTCCATGTATAAATTTGAACATTGAGGACAATAACGTTTTAGAAAATCTTTTGTGAGTGACATTGTTCAGATACATAGGCTAAGCTAGGCAATGATGAAAATATTTCTGAAATTAGGCCTACCTTTTATACCAAGATTATTTGCTTGTACAGTATTTTACATTCATTATCCACCTCACCTTCATTATATTATTTAAGTAAACTCGCTTATCTACTAAAACGTAGCACATATATCGAGTAAATAACAATTTTTGTATTAGGAGAGTAAACATAATTATTTTTGTACGGTAATCTGGTACAATTGGTAAATTCAGGAAATATGTAAAAATCTACTGTTAAGTATTATCATAAATTACAACTTTGACATCATTTAACTTACTTTTTATCGTGTAGGTATTTTCCCAGATTTTTTATTGTTGGATCACCCACCATATATTGCAAACTATATCTTCTAACCAACAAATGACCATATTTTTCTATTAGTTTTTACATTACAAATAAAATTAACTACGCAAAACACTGCTAGTGTTCATACATTTTATAAATACCCACAATTTTGAATATTTACCTAGGCCTAGGGTAAATGCCTATTTATAAATACTACCCATTGGCTATTTACCTGGCCAAAATCACTAATACACATTATGTTTCTTAATAATTTAATGAAAAAGTTGGGGTCTTTTTCAGAAGAGGGTCGCCACTTTTTAAACTGTAATAACCACAGTTTAGGTTAGGTTAGGTTTATAGCTCTACTCACGCGTTTTTTTTACCGAACAGAAATAATCACAAAAAACTCAAAAATCACATAACCTGGTTTTTCACAGTTTAAATAGTGGAGTCCCTCTTCTGAAAAAGACCCAAAACGTGATATTTTAAAGGTCCTAAATAAAAAAGTAATTTTTGTAAATTGGTACTTAAAATATGGACCAAATCGTGCTAAATTACTTCTCCAAATATAATGTATCAGTGTTTAGGCGTATATTCTTAGCGATCTGCCGTTTTGATTCTTTTAGTGTATAAGACATTATCAAGTTGCCATATTAAAAACATTATTTGTATATTTTCATTAAAAAAAACTAGGTAAAGTCCTCCATTTAAATTTTTTTTCTAAATAAAATAGTTTCTAAAACCAATGATGGCACAGTTAAGCTATACAACATATATACCCTATATATGTTTGCATTTCATAATCAGACATCAAGTGAACGTCATTTCTATAAGATCATTATCTTTACTTATCTAACTTGAAAATACAACTACTTCACAAGGAAAGTCATCCGTAAACATTATGCAAGATTTACGCCAATATATTCAACAAACAAGAGTTTTCATTTGTTGTTGTTTTGTATCCTCCAGCCATGACGAAGTGCAAGCAACGTGATATGAATGATGAGGCGGGTATGGTACAGAAAGTGGGCTAGCGGGTTTCCAGTGGGTCCTGCTGGTATAAAGCCACAGTCACTTTCGCGGCGCCTCAGTGTGTATCAGAGATGAGTGTTGTATCAGCTGTGTTAGCCCTGCTGGCCCTAGTCGGGGCCCCGGCCCTTAGCGCGGTCATCAAGGGCAACATACAAGTCCGTAAGTATTTAAAAACACAAAAACAACTAAAAATGTATATAAAATTGCCAACCAACCACGTTAAAATCTGCAAACTGAGCAAATTTCCTTTTTCCTGAATGGATTTTCTCTCGAATAAGTCATCATGTCAGATTTATTCCAAATTTATGTAACATTATATTTAAAGAGTACTTAGGTTTGCTGCTACATGGGAGGCGATAAAGAGGGTTTGTAGTGAAATTTTTCGTTTAGAATAAAATAAATATATTTCCCAAATTTGATAAAAATATTTCCATTAATAAACAAGCTATAAAAGTTGATTTAATTTCCGTTAAAATAATATGGAAATTTAAATTAAAAGTGGTTTTTAATTTCCTTAGTAACCTATTATTGTAGCCTACAATAACGCTTCAATATCCAAAATTATTTGTTTTTTTAGCTTCTTTAGAAAATATAGTGAAATTTAATGTTTTGAGGGTAAAAAAATGGGAAAACCTATATTCACCCCCATAAACCCCGTTCCCACAGTCCGATGGTTTGCGAACTTGTTCCAATAAATGTACAAAGACGTTTGTACCAAATTTAATCAAAATCTGATTATTTGTACTCATGTTATCACGTTATCGGGCACACACACACATACAAAGATAGATATGCGAAAATGAATGGATGGTGTTTTTGGCCTCTGAGACATCAAAAGGAAAACATAAATTGGTTCTGGATCCAGGTCTGAACGTGAGACGGCAATAGCTTACTCCTTTTAAGGGATCTTCGCTAAAACGTATATAACATATATAAAAGTTTGAATGGATGGTGTTTTTGCCATATGGGGACATCAAAATGAAAAAGTAATTCGGTCCCGGGCCTATGTCTTACCGTGCCACCTACGGTAATAGCTACTTCCCTGTAGGGAAATTCACCAAAACAAAAAAAAACTGGTTTAACTAAAAATTAATACACGATCAACTTGCACGTTTTCGATGGATTCTATGTCACAAAGCTGTAAAACAACTTATAACAGAGTAAATCAGAATGATATGAAATACCAAATAACGAATTCTTAGCACTTTCGAATGACAAATGTAACTCTGTAATTGTTCATAATTACTTAACTATTTGCTATTCTTGTTGTACATCCTATTAGTGGCGAAAACAATACTAATGGAAATCACCATTTGACATAGTAGTAATTAAATCTAATATTAAACAATCATATTTTCCGAATGGGTATAAATGAATACATCGATTAGCCTTTTCTAAAAAAAACCCCACCATTATAAAATATTAACATATTTATTTAAATATTTACATAGACCTATATATAAAGTATTAAAAATATTATTTTAAAATATTTTAATTTTTTAAAATATTCAAACTAATTAAAATATTAAAACTATTTATTAAATATTTATTAAAATATTTTCCCAATTATTTTGTATTTTTGCAAACAAACAAGTTTGATTAGTACTTGCAGGTTACAAACTTCACCTCGCGTAAAACACATCCTTTCCTTCTTACCTGCTACCTCTGATGAGTTGGTAATTTATTTTAATTACATTGATTTAAATACCACATAATTGTAAATAATATTAGACATTAAAGAAGCGGCTCATCTTTGAATTTCTAGGATTTCAGCTGGATAAAGTTGGAAGATACATTATATCAATCATTATTGTAACTTGTTGGAGGTGTACATGCTAACTTGCTATGTGTCAATACATATTTTAGAGGTGAATATTTAATTACCACATTCGTTCCACAATCATAAACAATAAGGGAAATTCTCCACGTGGTTCAAGATATAATAATTGAACACTTGTTTATAACCCTTAGCAGAGCGGGAGTCTCCCCGTGTCAGTTGTCAATGGGCGCGATACACCCGTATTCGATACATAAAAATAACCTTATCACCACAACTGACTCTCATTTAATCATCAACACAATAAATAAGGGTGAAAGCTATTTCACTCGGTATCATAATAGAAAGTCAATAATGAGATATCTCACAACGCAATGCCATTTTTTATTTAAATCATCCCACATGCCAACTCTGCTGGAACAATGTAAACATGAACAACATGAAGTGGAATAATGTTCTACACAACAGATGAAATGCCATTTAATTTAAATTATTACCTCGATAATTGATACCAACAAAAGCTAGTTGACGCCATATTAATAACTTCTCGTCACCACAAGACACATTGTATATTGACAAATAATTTCCACAATAATGTTACTACTCTAAGATGCAGCGTTGTTGTTATCCATGATTTGCCTTGGATGGTTAATATTAAATGTAATTTCATTGTAATGCCTGCTTCAATTAATAAATATAATATAACAAACCATGTAATCGGCTTAAGTATCAGATACATATCCGACAGTACCACTTATACCTAATCATGACTCCTTTCATAGGTCAACCAATAAAAATCACTATGAAACCGAATCATATATTCATTATTGCACTGAAAACCATGAAATGCATACATGGTCATGGTATACATGCATAGTCATGCTCAAACATAAATATAAGAATTATTTAATATTTGAATTATTAAATTTTACTATAATGCTAGTTAAAATTAGATTTGGTAGGAATCTACTCTAAAAAAGGTTTCTCAATCGAAAGATTCGAAATTTTTGTCTAAACTGTAGGATATGCCGCAATCCGAATGGAAGAGCACCATTAAAGACGTGGAAAGAGTAAGCTTTTTAGTTTAGTTCGTTTTGGCGAACTTCCCGTATATGGAATAATGCTATTGCTGTATGTCTCATAGTCCGATCTAGTCTCCTGACCGATTTACTTTTTTTTGCTTTGAAGTCTCCAGAGGCCAAAAACACAATCCGTTCTAATTCATAAAAGTAATGTATGTAAAAAGATTTTTGAGTGGAAATTCAATCAAGAAAATGAAAAATTAGCTAAGTTTGCAGGTTTGCTGTGGTGAGGATGTTCATTTATTTTGTAAGACTTAAATTATATAATATAACTATGGATATGTCTAATGTCTGAAGAATATCAAAGTTTGATGAATCTAATTTAAAGTTATACAGGTAAAGAAAAAATAGGGAAACGTTAGATGACATTCTTCGACCCCCAAACAATAACTACAATGATTAGAACAGCCCTTCATGATGTTTAAACATTTATTATATACAACAAATTCATGAAAAGTCGATTTTTCAATACAAACACCAAAAATAACTCGAAATTTCACATGATCAGGATTACAACACTCTCTGACCAATATCAGCAACGATTCACAGCCTTTTTCATGTAGTTTGAATATGTGTTATGAATATATAAGCTGAAATAACAGTTGAACATCAATTGTTGCTCATATCAAAGCAGCTGTTTACATTGGAAGTAGTTAGTAACTATTTGTTTAACTCAAGTAGTAGACTATCCTCATGTGTTGGTGAGTTGTTAGCAACAGGCAACACTAAACAACATTAGCATTCCAGTCTTGTCTGTTCTCTGTTGACCTGTTGTTGCAAGAATAGCTAGTTAGTGTCAAAGTAGGCGAGGCTATAGATGAGTGTTGTTTTGTGATTTGGATTAGCAAAACTACTCAGCAATCTAACACATAATCTTTTCCAGTGTCAAAAACCCTTATGATGTATGATACGTTATGGAGAAAACTACAAAAGTTGCAATAGCTTTTGGGCAGTAATATTTACATCATTGTTGTGGTGTCAATCACTTTGAAAACCAACACTTTCTCCATATTTCCCAGACCACTTTCCACAATTGACTGCATTCGTTTAGCGAGTTGCGTACACTACTAGTACGACAGTGTTTTAATTACTAAAATCACTACTCATAACTTCTAAAGAGAGGTTATGTTTTAGTTTATAACTTCTCAATGCCACTGACAGTGATCCAACGAAACATTGTTCCAAACACTAATTGCTCCAATCAACAATTAAATTTGGGAAGTTCGTCAAAACAGTGTAGTGTGGCGTAAATGTTTACACCACCCTACAATGGTTTAACGAACTTTCCATGCAAGGATTGAGTCCAAAAAACAGCTGTTAGCCATCAGATTAATCAAATGGGGTTTCATTACGTACTACTGTGCTGTAATGAGTTTTTACCGGACACCAGCCAGATGATTATATTTGGTTATGAGTGGTTATAAACAAAAACATAACCTTTCTTAGAGGTTATGAGTAGTGATTTGATTGTTAATCCTTTTAGTCGGTGGGAATAAAGATTTGTACAGTGGTTTTATTGTTGTATGGCGTAAAATATCGTACGTCACTCGTCCAAAATGTGTTTACCGGACTCGTATGGTAATCCCTCACTCGGCTTCGTCTCGCACGGGAACGACCACACTCGTCCGGTAAAATCCAATTTTCAGGACTAGTAACGTAATATACTATTACGGCGTCTTATGAACTGAATAACCACACTAGTCATTAGTGTGAACTGTCCTATGTGAATAATCTTGGCAGGGTGTGATCAAGACCCAAATGTGTAGGAACCAAGGCAACCGCATGAATGACTTCTAGGACTGAAGAATTGAATTGAATTGAATTGAATTGAATTGAATTTAAAATAACTTTATTCATAAATCATACAAGTATGTACATTGAATGGCGTCAAAATTCTTAAAACTACTTAAACTTACAACATAATATCAGCTGTACAGTTCATCAAAATTATACAGTACTTTTTGTGTTAAGTATATTTTAAGCTGGGATTTAAATTTTTTACTATCATCAATTTTCCTCAACCCCTCTGGAAGCCCTTCCAAAAACTTTCTTCCAGCACATGACGGTTTTTTGTTATAAAATTCCAATCTATGGGCACCAACAGCAATTTTGTTTCTATGCCGGGTGCCATATTCGTGATTATCCCCTAGTTTAGGTAACATACTTTCAGACAAAAGATTTTTAGTTAAAAGAACGGTATGAAAAACATAAATGCCGTACACAGTCATTATACCCATGGCTAAGAAATGATCACGTACGGAAACATCCCAGTTTAAATTCAACATTAGTCTTATTGCTCTTTTCTGCAAAATTAAAATTCTGTCCAAATTTTTCTTATGCCAAATGATATTGCGGATTCAATGAAAGCAAAATAAAGCTTTTTCAAAATATCTGCTGAACAAAATTTAGACATTCTATAAATTGCATAAATTCCAGATGTGATTTTGCTGACAACATGGTCAACATGGGAGTTCCATGAAAGATTTTCATCAACTACTAAGCCCAAAAATTTAGTTGTAGTAACTTGATTAAGATTAGAATTTTTAAAATTAATCACTGGATCAATTGGATTTTTTTGTTTACCTGTTGAAAATACCATAAAGTTGGTTTTACTGGAATTTAAAAGTAATTGATGATAGTTTAAGAAAGCATCTATTGATTTTAGGCAATTCAAAGAGTTACATTCCAAACCGGAAACAGATGTACTGCTTACTTTTAAACTTGCATCGTCTGCATACAAACTTATTTTATTAAATATATTGTTTTGAAATGACCCGGGCATTCCTTTGATGTAACAAAGAAATAAAACAGGTCCTAAAATCGAACCCTGTGGGACCCCATGTTGAATAATAGATAACTTTGAGCAGGAGGTTGAAAAAACGTTATTTTTTAATTGCTTCATTTCAACATACTGAGATCTCTGAGTTAAATAGGATCGAAACCACTTCAATGACCTGCTGTCGGCACCCAAATCTTGGATCTTCCCCAAAAGAAGCTGGTGTGAGACACTGTCAAAGGCCTTAGTCAGGTCCAAAAATATGCCCACTGTTTTATCCCCTTTATCCACTGAGTTTATTATTGAATCGATAAAATCTACTGCTGCAGTTATAACAGATCTACCTGGTCTGAATCCATGTTGTTCATCATCATGCAAATGGTTTTCTTCTAGATAAGTTACTAATTGGTTATAAACAACTTTTTCATATAATTTAGAAAATGATGACAGTAAAGATATGGTCGATAATTTGTTATATTTTTTGGATCTCCATTTTTATAGAGAGGACTAACTTTGGCAACTTTTAATTTTTCAGGGAAAATTCCACTCAAGAAAGAGGAATTTATTATATGAACAAGTGGTTTGACCAATTGTTTGCCAGCTTATTTTAATACTGTCATGGGTATTTCATCGTAACCGGTTGATAGTTAGTTTATTATCAAAAGAGTTTAGAATACTTAATATATCATTATCACATACAGCATTCAATTTAAATTTAGCCGTTGGAGGACACTGAAAGCTTGGACAAGTCTCACCCCCATGCAAACTATCATTTTGAGCTAGCTGAGAAATAATTGATGAATTAACATAGCTATTAAAAAAGTCATTAAAAATACAACTTATCTCTTTAGGGTCTCTGTACAAGATTCCATCAAAATCTATTTCAATATTGCTAACATTCTTTTTCTTATTTGAGATTTCAGCATTAAGTAATTTCCAAGTAGCTTTACATACATTTCCAGCATTACTAACCTTTTTAGCGTAAAACTGTCTTTTGGCATGTATAATTTTCTTTCTGAACTCCTTATTTAATCTCTTAACCTTATCATAAAGATCTTTATCATTACAAGCCCGAGCTGTCTTACTCAGTCTAATAATCTTTGATTTTTCATTTTTTAACTCTTGTGAAATCCAATTGTTGTATTTGATTTTACAGCGTTTTTTAAATTTAGGGAAACATTGATCAAAATAGAACTTAAAAATATTATAAAAAACAGAATACTTTTCTTCGACTGTAGCCATATAAACATGCAACCAATTTTCTTTACTCACTAATTTTACAAACAAGTCTAAATTATCCTTAGAAAAATCCCTAGCATCTCTTAATATATGTTCATTTAGTTTACTTTTACTTGAATTTACATCCTTGACATTATCACATTCAATAAATACCAACAATCCATCATGGTCAGAAATTTGTGTATTAATACCATCTACTTTTAGCTTATAATCTGTAATATTGGTGAGAACGTTGTCCAATGCAGTCTCTGATGAACATGCAATGCGCGTAGGGAAGTTAACCAAATATCTCATGCTGAACATTTCAAGTACATCAAGAAGCTTACAACTTTCTGTCACATCCAGAACATTTATATTAATATCTCCAACTACTACAATATTTTTAAATCTTTTTATCAATAAAGTCAATAAATAATTAAGTTTCTCAAGAAAAATGCAAATTTTAGTGCTGGGGGAACGGTAAACAGCAACCAGCAAAAACTGAAACTTATTAAATCTATATTCTGCTAAGCAGCATTCAAATTCCTTCTCACATATTACATTCTCTACAGAAAAGTTAATAGTTTTATATCATTTCTACAAAGGATAACAACACCACCACCTCCTGCAAATTTCCTGGAAAATGAGGAGTGAATTTGATAATTAGTCAGATTTAGACGAGATAACTCTGTTTCAGTCATTTTGTGTTCATTTAAAACTATTCTTAATGTGCGTCCCGAGCTTGTCTGTGCCGTAGGCTTTATGTACCTTGTTGGAATTCCATTTGATTTAAAAACCAAATTTCTAATCAAGGAATACTCTGCCTGTCCCGGGCGGCCGGTCGCGACGACTTGTGTCGCAATCTAGTGTCGACGACCGACTATGATCGTTCATACGACCGGTTATCCGTGCCAACACGGTAGTATCAATCAAGGCCCGATTTCGTAAAAATATTTTAAATTCTAGTACCTAGTTTTAACGAAAAAGCTTCATCAACCTCATTGATACTACTTAATGCAGACTGTCAATGTTGAAATGGAATGAATGAAATGAAAATCCTTTGTTTCAACAGGAAAAGTTAGCGCCACATGGCCCTTTCTTACACTTAACCTGTATACATATAAACATAAAATACACAATATATAGAAAACATTATTTACCAATAATAAATACTTCTAAAAACAATAAAACTTAACTAACAAAATCACTCACACACTCAGTCACTCAGTTAGCAATTACGCAAGCACCAAAACAGTCTTAAGACGCACCAGCAATTTTTTTGATTGCCACCACGAACCGAGGACGACTATCAAGCATTTTAATGGATAAAGTTGATTGTTCCAAAGACGGCAGGCAGTTACAACGAATGCCCTGTCATGCTGCACTTCTATGATTGAATGCAACACGAAAGATGCAGTGCGTGAACTCCTCAAACTACCTTCGGCTAAGCTGAAGTCACGTTCAAACTATTTGGCAATCTATTTTTTTAAATTTTAAATGCTAACAAGGTGATTTTAAGTAACCTCTGATCGTTCAACTTTAATATTTTTGATTCGATGTAGAAAGGTGTGATGTGCTAAAGCGTCTTAAATCAAAAGCAAATCGCAAACAATTCTTGCAGCACACCAGCAAGAATTACAGTCATAGTAGTTGTGTCGATATTGTTTCGTTTCATCTTTAAATATTAAGTATTTAAAGATAAATCTTTCTACGTGTCTACTACTCATCTAAAACATGAGCCAGCTGATTTTGTAAGTTATTACAGAGATATACAATTGTTTCAGCTACCTTCACGGAACCATGTTACAGGGACTCTCCCGAGTTCAACAGCTGTATCAAGCGAGCACTGCAAGGGCTCATCCCAAAGTTGTCGAAAGGTGAGAATACTATTGAAATTTAATCAATTTCAAGGGGATAATTACAGGTTGTCATCAATGAAACTGTCGGAGTTTCATTTTTTGACCACTCCATCGTTCCAACTAAAAATATTGTTTGTGAAAGTAAACTAGTAGTTTACATAGTAAACTACTATGTACTTCGTAGTTTTTTAGTAGTTTAGTAGTTTTAATTGTAAATGCACAATTAAAATACCGACGAACTTTATAGCAGCACAGCTAATCTAATAAGATTAATGATAAACCTTTTGACAACAATGTCATTCAACTGATTTAGTGTGTCCCAAAGAAGAAAATAAAAATAAAATAAATAGTTGGAAAAAAGAATAAAAGGTGGGCATATTATTTTTTTGAAAATTTAGGATTCTATCTCGGTACTATGGTATTATACCGGCCTCACCTAATAATTACAAACTTACCTATCCTAAGTATGGTTAGGTTAGGAAGATTTTGTTATTTAAACTAATTAAAATCTTATTTGTGAGTAGATTTACCGGTGTGGTCGGTATAGCATCAAAGTACCGCTACCTCCCTTTTGTCACATGCTAGAAGTTTATTGCATAATCGAAGTATTTTTTTATTTATGTTTGAGTATTGTTCAATATTCCAGTGGGGATTCCTGAACTGGAGTTAGAGAGCATCGACCCCTTGAAGGTACCAGAGATGATCATGTCCTACGACGCCAACACCATCGGAGGAAGAGTAACCCTGAGGGACACCATCACCAGAGGCATCGGCAAGCTAAAGATCGTGGATGTCAGGTATATGACTTGAAAATCAAATAAAGGAGGAAGGGTTTGCATATACGGGAGTTTTTGTTTCCAAACGCAACCCAAATAATTACCGTGAGACACTTTTTAACGACAAAACAAACTCATATGTTGGTATCCCTTTTTTCTTTACTAATTACTGCATTGTCGATAAGCTAATATGATTACATAGATATTTTTACATAGATATCTATGAGGTTTGGTGTTATTGAGAATTTATCGTAATTTTATTTGTACTTTTGCAAGCTAAAATGTAGTTTTTTACGAATCATATTTCCTTACACTATTGACAATTCTGTAAATAGTTGATTTTTAGGGACTGGAATAACACATGGAAACTTAATTTCAAACATATCTTGGCATAAAACCAATGATTTACTTTTTATGTACAATACATACTCTTTGAGCGTACGAAAACACCATGTTGAGTCTTATTTACAATAAATGCCCAATAACACTAAAACTCATCGATAACTATGCAGCAATGCATTTTAGCTGATTTGCGATTGAGATGAAGTAAATAAAACAGGGATATCAACAATATTAGCTTGTTTTGTCCTTAAAAAGTGTCGTCCAGTATAGTGATATTGGGGTTGCGTTAAAAAATAAAAAAAAAAAACACCCTGTACAATTTTTCTGCTCTGTAAGGTGCTTTCAAATAAATAGATGCAATGTATTTGCAATGAACATTTGTATTTGCGTAGAGCAACAATTTAACATGAACAATTTATTAACAAAATTAACTAGACCAATTAGGAACCTCCCTAAGTAACAAATTCTGTAGAAATATCGAAAGGTGTTGAACGATCACCATAGTGGAACGATCTCATCAAATAACAAATACCCCCGCCGCAGCAAACCTACCGACTAAGCGAATTTCCATTTTTCTGAATTGATTTTCAGTTAAATATATTTTAATAACATTAGGTTTAACGAGTACCTAGGTTTGCTGCTACAAGGAAACTAATAAAGTGTGTTTTTGAGTAAAATATTGATAGCTTAGTACAAAATAAATAAATTTGCCAAGTTTGATCAAAATATATCCATAAACAAGCAAACTACAACATTTGACAATATTCTCCATAAGAATAACATGGGAATTTTAAATTTAAAATTTTTTTAATTTTCTCCGTTACTAACAATCGAACAAAAATACTTTTATACAGGGTGATTGATATAAGTGTGCCAGCCGTTTTATTCGAAAACTATAAGAGATATCAAAAAAAGTTAAATGGTAAGTGCCTTGGATTTTTTATTTAAAAAATTGTAGTCAAGTCAAAAAAATTATTTTAGCCGCCATTTTTCCAATATGGCCGCCAACTTTGATTTTTCTTATGGAATGCCCTGTATTTCATGATGTATTCTGGTAGAAAATGTAATTTTAAGACAATTTTATTCTTGTAATTTTTTTTCATAAACCTAACCGTTTCAAAGATAATAATGGTTAAAGTTTTGAAATTTCTGCATGTATTGGGAAAAAGTTAAAAATATTTTTACGTTATTCCTTGGGGTAAATTTAGCGGGAAATAATTTCATTTCATCCTTTTACGTTAAGCCGTTTTTCCGTAATCAATTTGAGACACCTCTCGTGAGACACCCTGTATATATATATATACACACATATATAAAAATTTGAACGAATGGTGTTTTTGGCCTCTGGGGACATCAAAATGAAAAAGTAAATCGGTCCCGGGTCTAGGTCTTACCGTGCCACCTACGGTAATAGCTACTTCCCTATAGGGAAATTCGCTAAAACCTATTAGAAAAAAACCCTGATCGATTTTGAGCAATACATAATTGAGGAGTATACAGCGATTACATACAGCAAACAGCTATATTTTATTTAATCTCAAAATAAAGTTGGATAATAGATATTTTTGCACCATTACATTATTTATTATTAAAATTGTGTCACTTTTCCCTTTTACACTAGATACAATTTCGTACGTTGTGTTGATTAGTTCAAAATCGTTATAAATATTGTAGGGACAAATATCTATATTAAAAATAATTATAAAATAACTAGGCTTTTAGATAGACAATAAAGGTGTTTTTGTTACAGTAGAACCTTGATAACAAGACGCTCATAGGGATTATAAAATAAGACTTGTTATCAAGGTTGACTTCTTATCGAGGTTTACAATAACATGTGTTTAGGGGTAAAATAATTTTAAGGGGATTTGAAAATGACCCTTGTAATAAGGGTGACTTGTTATCGAGGGTCTTGTTATCGAGGGTCTTGTTATCGAGGTTCTACTATGTTATATGTTGGAGTAGTTGTTACTGCAGTCTTCATACTACTACCGTACTTGATCTCTTTAGGATTCATATAAGCCAAAGGGTCAAACTGTCATAGGATTTATGTGAAAATTATCGGCATTTCAATAAAACTTGTAAATAATTAGATATATGAGTTGAGAAGCAGTTGAATCCAACTCCGGGAACGGGTGAAGTTTTACATTTTTATGTAAAACTTTTGATCAGAGTTTCACTTTTTTGTTCTAATTGTAAACATTTTAATTTCCCCGTCAGATTTAAAAACAATTTAGTATATAACATTTTTATTTTTGACTGCCTTGTGGAAGCAGCCTCAAGAACTCATTCACTCTTATGTTATTCATACAAGCCCAGGTTCATGAAGGAACAACTCGAAAAATGGATGTTTTAGACAAAAATAGTCCTAAACAACAAATCATACAAATGACAACCGAATCTAAACCAGCATAAGCGGCAGATTCCACTAAGATATTGCACAAAGATTTCATAATAGCTTTCACTTGTCTATGGTTTTGACGGGTTGATTGTGTCACTTGAATTTCGAAGAGTTTCTATTACTTGCTTCAATAGACAATTGCGATATTAGCTAGCACTAACCTTCTTTATAAAAATAAGTTTATTATAAATGTAAGCTAATCATAATTTCTTTTATCCTTTGCATACAAGCAATCAGGTTCTAAAACGAGAGTTGATTCAACTTTAAGGCTTTCTCTTGGCCTGCCCACAATCTGCACGAAAGATTACGCTCTGAAGCGGCTTAAAGATGATTTTATGAACACAATTTTTAAATTTTGCTTCGTGTACATTAGTACAAGCACTTGCATTACATATATGGGGTCCATAATACCATTTCTTCTCTAATGTTGAAATTCAGATAGCCTAAATATTCAAGATTACACAGCAGCCCAGCATAGTCTTGCTAAGTTTACAAAACGTGTCGACGAGGTCCGATTGACAATCACAAAATCAATATAGTTTAATAATATTTGTAGGAACCTATCTGAAAAGCATATTTCAACAAGACTCTTATACAGTATCTTAATTAATTTACAGAACGAAGAAATTGCCTTTATGAAAAACTATATAAATGGGACTCTGTGATTTGTTTTCTGGTCATTTGTTCATTTGTACACTGAAATATTTTATACGTCATTGGCAACAAAAAATATATAAACATATTAATAAAACAAGAATAACTAATGTATACCTTGCTTGTTCTCCAGGTCTGTAGCTAATGATCCTACTCGTTTCCTAATGGAGATAGACTTCTTCATACCCAAGATGAGGACTGCAGGGTTGTACAGCATGCAGGGCCATGTCGGCGACATCCCCATCACCGGCGACGACAAGTACAACATATCTATGGGTGAGTATACCACAGGGAATTTATACAGTAACACATTTGGTAGGCATGCCGTAGAGAATAAAATATCTACGAGTAAATATACTAAAGATAAAGTATAAGTACCATGCTGCCTATAGGAAATAAAAAATTGGCTCTAGGGAGAAGCATAGCTGGGTTTATCAGCATTCGAGTGAAGTGAGCCGGGCTTCTCTGAGATTGACGGCTCCGAAATAATAAACCTAAAAAGTAAATTTAAGGATTGTATTGCTTCTTCTATGAACTAATACTTATTTTAAAACTAAAACAATGTCTAGAGGAGGACATTTTTAAAACTTTGTAAATTAGGGGTTTGTAACGCAATACATTTTTTACTGTCGGATCATTTTCTCTAAGAACGGTGATTTGCGGAATTTCGGGTTTAGGAAAGTGAAGTTGGACATTCCTCTTCATTTGATTATGATTTATTTTCATACTATTTCCACACGCCGGTTATGTTTATGCCAACAGTATCTCTTTTGGTGTTATTGTGAGTGGTAAACAAGGGGAAGCGGAGCGAGTGCCATGCTATTTCTTGCCGTGGGGTCATAAACTGTCAAACCCGTCAGATAGGCCCGAGTGCCAGTTGACTCCTTAGAGCGTAAGAGTGATTCAGGGGATGGGTATTAGTGAAAGGGGGTGTAGTGAGCAGACTGTAACGGTGACCGGGTACAGTTTCTTAACTGGGCTACCCTAATTTCGATTGAAAATATCTATTCGATTAATATAGATTCGATTAGTAAACCTTCATTCGATTTTTCCATAATAAGTTTGGCTAGGTTAGGTTATAACAGTTTCATTTTATCCCTCAAACAAGTTTTGCTCATCCTGCCCCCCCTGGTCGATCTTTTATTCCATCCCCATACCCACCGTACCGTGGAACCAGCCACTGATACCTGGCTGGCACTCGCACCGCCAAGCCTCAGTCTGAAAATGACCCTCGTCAAAGTTTTTAGGCAACTGGCACTCCTGGACACAATGTAACGACGAAACTGAGATTAGGTAGTCACTTACTGCAAGTATGTCAATGATCATAATGATGGATAATAATGGCAATAATACATTTTGATGGTCGGATAATTACGAAACATGTTTATCACTTACGATGATATTTGCATGATATTCAACATTTGCCTAGTCAAACCAATAATTGTACGTCATTCACAGTCCACTTGAAAACATAATTAATCGTAATTGATATTGTCAAAGATTGTATCAAAATATTCAAGAAATATATTCACCATTTAACAGTGTTCTATGAATCTCTCTTTATTTAAACTATATTACTCAAACCTCCAACTAGATTTTTTTCGTTATTTTATTTGCATAGGAAGTACTTAACAGTTATGAAATCATTTGATGAATGCGATGAAAGCACATTTTGATTTTCACCCAAGTTGACATGGTTTAGCTGTAAATTGAGTATTAAATGCGTTTGATAATTAGATGCGGACATTCCACTTAGTTCCCAAACCACCCATGGTTTGTTTTCTTGCTTGTTCGAGTTACTATAGCTACGATAGCTTATTTAAGCCAATAAGCTCCTAAGCTAAAAGATTAGGCTTAGTAAGTGTTCCACGCACTGTTTATTGTAAAGTCTCGGTTAGTCAGAATTATATGTGTGGGTAATAGCATTTTAAAATCAATTCTTAGGAATTGTACATTGCATTCTGAACCCAATAAATAAAATAAAACATATAATAAATAAAATAATAAATATAAAATAAATATAATAAATAAAATAAAACAAGCATTTCGGTTGTATAAATATTACAGATTTTTGCCTGAGGGATAAAAATATTACAATCTTTTAATAACATTTTTAAATGGTCCTTCATACAATTTACTTAAAATAGATATAATTAGATTATTAGTAGTTTAGTTTAGCAAAACGAAAGTTTATATGTGAATAGTATAGTCCTTAGTTGGTTATCATCAAAAAAGCTTAATAATGTTTCATTGCTTTTTGTTTGTGAAAAATACTTTCGTTTTTTGCAGATGGAGTGAGCGGGACGTGGAAGCTGACTGGAGCTCCTGTGGAGGAAGATGGACAAGTCTTCATGAGGATTGACAGGTTCGAGGTCAACCCAGAGGTCCAGGGGCTCAAAGTCCACGCCAACAACCTCTTCAAGGGCAACCCAGAACTTAGTAAGTGAAATTGCACCAATATTTAGTAAAAGCATCACCCATTAATAATTGTTTCATGCATTAGTATGAGTGTATGCATTAGTAAGTGCTTCACGCATTAAAAGGGGGGTTTACTCATTCATGAGTGCTTAACATGTTAGTATACTACACGTTAGTACGGGCACTGTATATTGGTATGGCCAAAAATGGTTAAAGTGAGCATTTGTTAGTAATTACTCCACATATTATAATAAGAGCATCGCGCATTAGTAATGTTTCACGTATAAGCATAGATTAAAGGAGTAGACAAATCGGGGCCCTTTTACTGTATATGGGGAAAGTATTGTTTTCGTTGACATTTTCGAGTTTTAGTTTTGGGTGGAAATATCTGTTTTGGATCCTCCTGAACCCATAAAAGTGTTTTTAAAGTGATGCCTGTGTGAGTGATGAGTAGATGAATGTGTACATAAACTTCACCTGTGGTCTGATTTTCATGAAATTTTGTGTGTAGGATACTCATCTTTGTTATATCTCAGATTTTTTCGTTAATATGAAGTTTTGAATTTTTTATTGGCGATTTTACCAATAAAACCCATAAAATATCGAAAAATCGGATTTTCACAAAAACTGTTTGAACCACATCGATTAAAATTTATTTTATGGTCCTTTCAACTCTAATAAAAGATACAACCACCAATTCTGACAAAAATTAGATTCCATATTAATGACAATTGTTTGTAGTTTTCCCTTATTTCTACCACTTATTAATCATAAGGGTTGTAGACACGTACATGTGAGAAAGTATGTGTCAGTTTGCTGATACCATTTTGTTTATGTACGTTATTCCAAAAGGCCAACACCAGTGACATGTTAGCCGACGCTGCACCCATTTTTAAACCCTTCTTTACTGATAAAGTAATCGTGTATGTATGTCTATCTTCAGGACAGTGTAATCTTTCATATTTAAGAGATCGATGTTAGGATGTTTTTTTCACGCTGTAACACAAGATATTATTAAATAGTAGACAATTATAACGTACTCCGAAATACTTAGTCATGATGTGATTCTATAGCTTAGAATGAACTGTAATGTGTAAATGCCTGTTCCAGGTGCAGTGACAATCGCCTTCGTCAATAGATTCTGGCGGGTGTTGTATGATGAGATGTTGCCATACACAGTGGAAACCTTCGACAAAGTCGGCCGCCAGCTGATCAACAAGATATTCCACAAGATTCCTTACGATCAGCTGTTTCCCCTGACACCCAACCCCTAGATGTGTCAGACAGATGTTTTAAGACTTAAATAACACGCTCGATAGCATTTTCACATGATATGTATGAAAAATCAACATTAAATTAAGATTATTTAAACAGTAGTTCGTGTATATTTTTGTTTGCTTGTATAACTGGATAAAAGTAATCAATTACGTCGTTATTTATAAGGATGAAAGTGTATTACAATGTCGACTCTGTGTTTTTTTTTTCTATGTACACGTAATAACATTGAACAAAAAAATTTACATATACTAAACACTTAAAAAAATTTAACGTACATACCTGACGATTACGACGGCCTTAGTAGTTGATAAAAATGCATTGTGTAAAATTGTTATTTAAATATACACTTGGTTAGTGGTAATACTAAACAACCAGTACAAAAGGCATGTCCTTTGTGATTCAACAAACAGATTAATGTAGGTACATACAAACTATAATCAATTGTAATAATGTACCTTTACCGGGCACTCAATACATCATTATTACTTGCTATGAAACTGTCTTTGGAGGCACTAGATTTAGTTACACACATGTACAACACGATTAATATTAAAGCAAACTTTGTATTTGTTAACTGTGTTTTATCTAATTATTTACTTAACCACTAAACATATAATATGCAGCACTACTTTTGGATACCGAATAGAAAGAACGGAATAAGAATTCGACAACATTTTGCAATAATCATTCGTAGGTCATATATTATAATAATCAACTGATATATTATAATATATTATAATAATAATAAATAATAACCTGTGATCAGGTGTTTTGGTTGATGGCTTTAATTTTTTATGACGTCACATTGGACAGCATAGAAAAAAGTGCTTACCCATTAGCCAAGCAAAACCCCGTTTCCATGTATCATTGTTTCAAATGCGTATTATTTATATGAATGAACGTTTATTTGACAAGTTGGTCTGTTGGATCAAAACAGCTGATTAGAACTGCCTTTTTTGTCAGCTATATAGGTTCAATATTTATGTTTAAACATTAATTTCACTGCCAAGAAAAAGTTATCAAAAATCAAACGTTTTGTTACTTAGGGGCCAAGTTTAAGACAAAAACAACTACTGTACTTATCTTCTATGATAATTAATACAATACTGTAATAGTTTTCTCTGTAAAATCCCCTTTTCGCCCGGCCTACATAATCGATTTTTACTATTTATGTGTCATTGAAAAGACTACGATTCATCGGAGTGACGAATGCTAACTAAAATGGTCGTTTCTTTCAAGGTTAATAGCGTTTGAGCTATTTCTAGACATGGCTTTAGAAAAATCAAATGGTCCTGAACAAATTTCTTCACACCGGGTTTAAATATGGATTTTAATCTTAACGGATGAACCTTTAGTTTAATGTTTAACCACTGTTGTAATCAAGATTGTAATCAAGAGACGAGAGATTTTAATCTAGCTATTTTTATTTATGATTGTAACCTGAATGGAGTGGGTAAATCCAGCTCTTTATGGTGTTTATCTACAATCAACAAACTTAATAAATTGTAAATTTGTAACCATACTTATCTAATAACTGTTTGAAACGAAAATAATCCTTGAAAGGTAAAAGGGTAATGTATTATCATTCTGTCTAACAGTTTTGAACCCCATTGAAATGGGAATTTTGCACAGGTCCCCTCGTATTTCATATAGTTCAATAGCGGTGTTCATAAAAATTATCACTATTGTCTGGGCTCTGTAGTATTAATCTGAATGATTTTTTATTTACTTTAATTGTAGGACTTTAGTTAGTAGTACTTTAGTTGTAGCATGCTTGTATAGATTGCTTGTTCATAAGCATAAACATTTTATACAGTGTGATTGAAAAGTCCCGGAACGGTTAAATATTTTAAAAAATAATACAGATAGAGCTAAAATACTTAGTACAAAGTTACAGGGCATAAAACTCTATTTTATCACATATTCAGTGATCCAATAATTCTTCAGGGGGACGGCCCACAAGCAGTCGGAAGAAAATCTTAAATGGAAGCATAGGTCAATATGCGCATCAAATTAAAGGTCTTTTTTAGTAGAATACAATGTCTTTTTTAGTAGAATACAATGCCGCAAACCGCACTTCAAAAGGTTGATCCTGCACAAAATGGCAGATGTTCAAAGATTTATTGAATCCGCCATTTTGAATCTTTGAACGACTGCCATTTTTTACTCAGGCATTCTTTTGAGCTTGAATTTACGGCATCGTAATCTAAAAGTGAAGACCTTTAATTTGATGTGCATATCGACCTATTCTTACGTTAAAAATTTTCTTCCGATTCCTAGGGCTGCTTGCCCCCTGAGGAGAAAGCGTATAATAGCAATGCAAATTAAATGAATCTTTGAACAACTGTCATTTTGCGCAGGATCAACCTTTTGAAGTGCGGTTTGCGGCATTGTATTCTACTAAAAATGACCTTTAATTTGATGTGCATATTGACCTATGCTTCCTTTAAGATTTTCTTCTGACTCCTTGTGGGACGTCCCCCTGAAGAGTTATTGAGTCACTGAATATGTGTTAAAATAGAGTTTTATGCCCTGTAACTTTGTACCAAGTATTTTAGCTCTATCTGCATTATTTTTTAAAATATTAAACCGTTCCGGGACTTTTCAATCACAATGTATTCTCTTTAAATTTTTTTAAATCTCGCAACCAACATGGGAACCCATGTTTCATATCATATCACAAATAGATTTTTTTGGCCATACTAGGACCTTTTTTGAAGCAGAACTTAGTCATATACTCTAAGTATAAATATCTTTGTCACCGATTTTGAGAAAAGATATCAACTATATAAACTAGAATACTCATAATATATACAGGGTGTTCAAAAAGGGTGGGAACATAATTTACACAGTGATTCCTTGGGTATAAATAAATAGAAATCAATTATAAAACCTTTTCCAAAATCACTTCGTTAACCAAATATCCGTCATTTTTTTACAATAAACATTTTTATCTTTGGATTGATCCAACTGACCTTTATGAAACTTGGTATGTATGTTAAGGTAGAAGCAATCCATTTGAGAAAAAAAATCTTGATCGAATTCAGAATGTCAAAATCGTAGTAATGATTTATTAAAAAATGTCAAGACACTTTAATTTATAATTAAAAGTGTCATATACCAAGACATTATGTTCAAAAAGATCAAATAGAAAATAACTGAAATATCACGATTATTTGTCGTAATATAAGGTTTAATGGAGCTAGGCTAGTCAACTTTGCCTCGTTTTTTAATTAAAAAATCGTGATATTTCAGTTAGTTTTTATTTGATATTTTTGAACTTGTATCGTTGAATAGGGCATCTTAAATAATAAATGAAAGTGTTCTTGAAATTTGTTCATAAAATCAGCCATTTTTTGGTAGTTAAAATTTAGACAAATAAAATACCCGCCATTTTGAAATTTGGCGGAAAATTGAATCGGACCGAGATAACCAGAGTTTCTTATATGGGTCACTTCTAGCTTAACATACATACTAAGTTTCATAAAGATCGGTTGGATCAATCCAAAGATAAAAATGTTTATGTTCAAATTACAAAATGGCGGATATCTGGTTAACGAAGCTATTTTGGAAACAGTTTTATAATTGGTCTTTGTTCTTATTTTGACCCAAGGAATCACTACATAAATTATGTTCCTACATTTTTTGAACACCCTATATAGAATACGTACGATCAATTTATACAAAAATGCGTCTACATCCATGTATTGGAATGTGAGGGGGTGCAGAGGAGAAGATAGATCGAATGTGGTAGAAATAGACTACTGTAATAGCATTAGACAGTGATGGCGAATCAAGCCACCACGCGGCTACTACTGAGCTAAAATAACAGTAAATAGCTCTTTAAATGAGCTACTTATTCATTAACCAACCATGTCCCATCAATTGATTAGTCGTTTATTGATTAGCACTCAATCAGTGACGCAGTGTCACTCTGGTTGACGTTTAAATTTATAAGTGGCAAATCACTCATTATTTAGGGTAAATCTAAATAGTTACGGATTCAAAGATTAATTTGTCACGTTTATAAATATTGTAAACTCAAAACATCAAATTTTGCAATTCTTTTCCGAACAATTTTGTAGAGTTTAAGAAAACAAACAATTTATGATATTTAACTGTTGCAGCATGCCTAATAGTTGCGGAAGAAATAAAAAAAAATAATTTGAAATTCCTTTGTTATTTTTATGAAGAATAGGTAAACTGTCGTATTTTACTTTTTATGGATAAAATGTTATCAAAATTGGCATAGCCTATTTATTTATTTAATACTAAGCTGATTAACGTTTCACTACAAATAATCTTTATTATGTTCCCTGTAGCAGCAAACCTACTTAAACCCAATGTTATTTAAATATGGAAACTTTTGATAAATTTAACAAAATATTTTATAAAATGTGAATCAGATAAATGGACATTCGCTTAGTGTGCAGGTTTGCTGCGGCGGGCGTATTTATGTTATTGGCAGATGCACCTAGAGCCTAAGGTGGATTTTGAACCACCGGGTCCCACCATGACATAGCTAATCGCCATTTGTGAAGGAAGAGATTTTAACGCGTGTTTTCAGGACAGAAGTCCCACACTCCAACATCATGAAACAGAGAACCAATTTATAGATCTGTAGATATATTTTCTCTGTTGTAATTGTAAAATGTCTTTTAGTACTGGAAGAGACAGAAGTTTTCAGCAACCTGTCAAATTAAAACCTATACAATAATTCGGAGTCGCCTTAACATTGCGTCCACAATTTCGAACGATTATTTATGTCTAAGCTAATACAGTATGTAATAATAATGGTATTTTAACAATACTTGTTTGCAGTTATATTTTATATTAAACAAATCCAAATAATCGCGTTCTCGTAAGTGGTTATTCGTGTGAAACGACGTTTTAAACCCTGAATTCAACTTGGTAGCAATAAGATGTTCCGCGAAGTTTGAAGGGACAAATGCGACATGGGACTGAGACATGTGACACGCCAATGTTACGCGTGTCACACGCAATGTGACAATGGGGATGTGACACTTGTGACACAATCGTGACCAGTGTGACACTGTCGAGGCCTATGTGAACCTGTAATCTGTTATGCGATGTTATAACTAGATTTGAGTATAGGTTTATTCGTAAGCCACAACAACCAATGAAAGTTGACTAGCTTTTTCTATGATCTTTACAACTTCCAGAGATCCGCCATTTTGGCTAGGGGTGAGATATTCAACCCGGATTTGCGTCATTGTGTTTCTTTTGACAAACCCTTTAAAATGAGGGGTCACTCAATAGGGGTTGCTATTTGAAAAAAATAAGTCACCCCTTACCCCCTACCCTGTTAGGGTGGGTAAAAAAGTATTTTGTATGTAAAAAATTGCGGAACCTTTGTTAACAATTATTGCCACAAACAGAATATTTCTATCTATTTCGGTTTTAAAAATACAGATTTGTTTCAATACTTAATTTACACACTGTATTGATATAATGATATATTGATATATTGTCACAATCGAACTACTGTTTTTGGTACCTAATGACGTAGGGGAAAGCTACTATTTTCTGTGTCCTTCATAACTTGATGCGTAC